TTACAACCCTGACCACAAAAGAAATATCTGGTCTGGTGAGAAGTAATTCAATTTACCCACGAGCTGTCTACACCAGTCGTCTATACCTTTCTGGATGTTTAAATAACTCTCCTTGTTTGGTGTTCAGTTTTGTATTGGAATTCATGGGAGTGTCAACTTGGTTTTGTACCAGTAAGCCCTGTTTTCGCAAATAGATCTAAGACATACTTGCGTTGAAATAAATTGGTACCACCATTGGATCTAGCTATCTCAATTCCAAGTAAACACCGTAACTTACCCAGATATTTAATGGGAAATTTCCGTTGCAAGAATTCTTTGAGGGCAATAATACCTTCACTATCACTACATGGGATAACAATATCATCCATTTAGACAACTAAAATGATCATGTCAGATTTAGAATTCTTACTAAACACAGAGTTATTCACTTGAGTATTTGACATCGTTGAAGTCCAAAGTCTAACATTGTTTCACTAAATTTGCAAAGCCAAGCTCGAGCTGATTGTTTTAGGCCAGATATCGGCTTCTTTAATTAGTATACCGTACCACTAGACTTCCACTTAGTAATAAACCCAAGTGGTTGCTATGTATAAACCTTCCCAGTCAAGTCACCTATAGAAAGACAATTTTGACATTTAATTGAAACAATGTCCATCGGAAATTTGTTGTGAGAGAGAAAATGACCTGAACAGATGAGATCTTTGCAAGGTGAGAAAATTTTTTACCATAACCCACACCATATTGAGATTGATTGTTATTTTGTGCATNCCCAGTCAAGTCACCTATAGAAAGACAATTTTGACATTTAATTGAAACAATGTCCATTGGAAATTTGTTGTGAGAGAGAAAATGACCTGAACAGATGAGATCTTTGCAAGGTGAGAAATTTTTTTACCATAACCCACACCATATTGAGATTGATTGTTATTTTGTGCATCATCATCTTCGAGGGATGTTTCATGGACACTATTTCTTCACCTTGGCAACTAGTTTTGCCTTTAATCTCCCAATATAACCATTAGGCAAGTACCTGATAACATATACCTATGGATTGTAAATCCACCACTAGTTTTTTTTTTTTTTTATGATTCTTTTATTTGTTGGAGAAGCAATAAGCTGACCGTTGTCGCTCGTTCTATTGCCGAGACTAAATATCACANTAGGCAAGTACCTGATAACATATACCTATGGATTGTAAATCCACCACTAGTTTTTTTATATTTTTTTTTATGATTCTTTTATTTGTTGGAGAAGCAAGAAGCAGACCGTTGTCGCTCGTTCTATTGCCGAGACTAAATATCACACTATGGTTTCTTCTACGTCGGAGATACTTTGGTTGCGATGGTTGCTTGCCGATCTAGATGTTTCCTTTTTTGGTCCTAATCTTATGTATTGTGCCAACAAAAATGTCATTCAGATTGCACACAACTTTGTTTTCCATGAGCGAACTAAACATATCGATATCGACCGTTACTTTGTGCATCACCATCTTCATTTTGGGACTATTTCCTTGCCTATTGTTTTTTCCACTATGCAGTTAGCTGACTTTTTCACAAAGTCCCATACCATATNGATATCGACCGTTACTTTGTGCATCACCATCTTCATTTTGGGACTATTTCCTTGCCTTTTGTTTTTTCCACTATACAGTTAGCTGACTTGTTCACAAAGTCCCATACCATATTGTGTTTTCGTTTTCTTGTTGACAAACTATCGATGCTTTCTACCGTTACATCATGAGTTTGAGAGGGGATGTTGAGAGTGTAATTATATTTATTTATCATTATGGGTAGTTTAGTCATTTCCTTATTATGAGGTTCCTTATATATTGTCTCTTGTACTCACTTTTATCATTATGGAATATTAGACTGCCGCATATAGTTTTTCTCTTCTTCTATCCTCTCTACATGTGACTTCTTTCCTTTACCCTAATTGATCTATGTTTTCAGAATAGGTGTGCTTTCTTTAGCTTAAAATGTTCAGTGTAAAGTTCTTCATCAGCCGTATGAATGTATCCCTTAATCAAGAGTCCATTTCAATCAAGGTCTCTTCACTACAACCTATCTCAGATTCCATCATTTTTAGGGTTGAGTTTTTCTAGGTCAAAAGTCTCAAAGTCGCCGACAAGGTGTGTAGGTCAACAATCAGCAAAATATCCTCCGTTGATACTAATATAGGAGTGCAAAGTATAAGATCGACCTTGTCGTTGATGTAACAAAGTGTGATCTAAAGGGACGGGGGGTGAATGCCCAAATAAAACTTATTTTTGATAAAGGCCTTTGACCTAATTAGTGAATGTCTATGTCAAGTTAATAGGATTTAATGTAATACAATCCATCATCCTTATCACTCCGATTGTGGTCCACCAATTCACAAACATATATGCGAATCGAATGGCCAACAACACAAGTTGGATTCACTCAAACATTCATCCAAGCATAAAGAAGGAATAAAAACTATATGTATGTAAAAGATAACAATCACACAATCCAAATAATTTTTATGTGAAAACCCTCTTGGAAAAAAGCACGAGATCAATCTTGGTCCACTTAACTTAATTCACTAGTTTTAAACTTAGATTACAAGTTCGAAGATTTATACCTCAACCAATTCTATGGCTAAAAGCTTGCTCTGTTGAATCTTCACTCTGCCAATCCACTGCTAGCATTTTGACAATTAGCATCAAAAGGCATTGAATAGAGCTCTATGATCCGTTCTTGGAATCCTCCCATTGGTCCTTGGTTTACCTCCTTGGGTCCTTTGTGTTGTGGGTTTGATGTGTTTTACAAGATCTTCAACAATAGATGCTTAAATTTTCATGGATATCTATTTTGATCTTGAAGGAATTAGGTCTTGATCTTGTACAGGGTGCGTTCTTTCTTGAATATGTAGTCTCGCTTAAACCCTAGTCTCTCTCTAAGCTTAACTCTAGTGGATGTCTAGTAGGTCATAAGAGTCATCTTCTATTTATAGGAATCGGAAACCAGTGTAAGATTGACGTGCAAGTAATTTTGTCTGCGACGCAATGTTCAATAAATATTGCGTAATAAATCTGAAAAATTTGGGACGTACATGCAAGAATAAGGATGAAAATAGTGAGTTCTTGCTGGGTGTTGCCCTTGGTCAGTGGGTCATGCTGACGGAGTAAAATATCTGGAGAAGTGTAATTCAATTGTTCCCGACACGATTATACATGTGGAACTACACAAGTATGACCGTTGTGAGGGGATGAATATGTCTTTGATACTTCTCATGGAAAGTCGGAAACTTACACCCCCCACAGCGGTCATATTTTAGACCTATAAACCTTTATTACCAATTAATTGATTGATTTGTAAATTAATACTTGATGAATCCTTTTTTCAATGAACAAAACCTCGATGAATGTGTAGATGCAAGATGCCTAAATTCAACAATCACAACCAACAAGCAAATCCATCATCTTTGTCCCTCCAAGCCCTTCCATTGCTACCAACCAAAATGATGGTATTCAAAAAATAGCAACAATTCAATCAATTCATCAAATTCATGGGGGGTGTGTGTGTGCCAAATAAAGCAATAAACAATCAACCACAACACAAGACAATTTATATGAGGAAACCACCTTGGAAAAAACCATTGGATCATTCCCGGTCCACCTAACCTAATCCATTATACTCAAAATAGAATTACGAGGTTCAAAGTCTTATATCAATTTCATGGTTAGACGCTTTCCTCTTTATCAATCTTCCCCATCGGATTTGGTCTTGAGTAGTGGCTTCAAAGGGCAAATCAAGCTCCATGATCCGACTTCTTATCTTTTGATCTTCAAGGATTCCCTCCCAAGATCTACTCGATCATCAATATACACCGTTGTGGGTTTCTACAAGATCTCTTCTTTTCTTGATCTGGATTTGAAGTTTGAGATTAATTAAAGTAGATTGACCTTTCAATTCTTAGGGAGCTAGGGTTTTTCTTGGCTCTCTGGATGATATATGGGGCTTTAGGAGGCACAATGAGTTACCCAGGCTGAAAAGGTTTGTCCATATATATTTTCCTCGTAATTAGAGTCAATTTGCTGCCCAAAATTTGAAATTTGCGATGGACTGCTTGAGCCAGTGGTTGTCATTGGAATGACTCAAAGGTCTAAGCCAGTCTAGTTGAGCAGGGACCAGTTGAGAGGTNTCGTAATTAGAGTCAATTTGCTGCCCAAAATTTGAAATTTGCGATGGACTGCTTGAGTCAGTGGTTGTCATTGGGATGACTCAAAGGTCTAAGCCAGTCTAGTTGAGCAGGGACCAGTTGAGAGGTGCGCTCAGGCCACTCGAACTATTTGCTAGTCGATTGAGCGGCCTAGCAAGCCATCTCCACTGTCCAACTGTTAAGCCTTCTCCAAATTTCTCGAAATGTTCAGCGACCGCTCTAACAGTAGGCCGGCGAGTAGTGGTTGTCTCTACTGGGTTTTAAGCCTAAATCCAATCAAAAACTTGCCCTATTGAACACTAAAAGGTATTGCTCAACCATGCTCTGATTCATGATTCTATCTATGTTTTCAAATCAAGATTTGATGTTTCAAAAATATTTTCAATAAAAGGTTTTGAGTCATGTACAGATTCATCCTAAATTCATTTTATTAAAACCTAATGAGTCAAAGTAAAAATACGAAGGGTCACTTAGGGTCTCTAAGGTCTTTACTTTTCCTAATCTTTGAAGGATCCTGGGAGATCTAAATGATGTGGTTTGTAGCTTGAACACTTTCTTTCTTGTGGCTTTGGATCTTGAATTTGGTAGCTTCATGGCCATGGATTTAATAGAGATTTACATTGTGGCTTTATGGAATTAGCCAATTACAATAAGCAATTTCCAAACAAGTGGTTTGTTCTTAGTGTTTGAATGCAGATCTTCCACAAAGGTGGAACTTTCTCATGGAATCCTGTGCGGCTGACGTTAATCTTTGATCTCAGATACAATGCATACATCTGCCATGGGAATCTGTACTGGAAAGTGAAATCCAAGAATTCATGCCGGACATAGTGTAAGCACTCGTTGATTTACTTGCATGCTGACTGAGATTTTCTCAGTAAGTGTGGTTTCTGCTCNAATCTGTACTGGAAAGTGAAATCCAAGAATTCATGCCGGACATAGTGTAAGCACTCGTTGATTTACTTGCATGCTGACTGAGATTTTCTCAGTAAGTGTGGTTTCTGTGAAGTTTCTCCGCTGGTCTAAAGGGAGGAATGCTATGTTCATGGTCAATTCTTTACGTTGATTGAGTTGAGTACCAACAATTGGACAATTTATTGTTCTCTGACATGTTAATAGTCATTGCCAATTTCTGAGAATTGCAACAAGAAAGAAGCATCAAATACCTGTTTTAAAAAAAAATCAAAGGGTTGGTCTTGTGTCATTGGCTCTGGTATGATACATCCTGACGGTGTTATTCCGGAATTGATATAGCTTAGGCAGAGCATCATGCAAAATCATGATTTAAGTGTTTTTGGCAAACTGTTCAAGTCCATCTTGTATGCCAAGTCCTGTATTCCATAAATTGGAGTTTTCTGGAAGCAATAATTGGAAAATTTGAGACCATGCTAAATCTTTAGGTGACTGTGTTACAGTTGTTCTGTTGTTTGTCTTTTTTTTTTTACATTTTATTATGAGTGGCATTTCACTTGCTTCTCTCTACAGTTTGGGTGCAGATGTAATTTATAATCCATCATGCCTACCACATCTTGTTCGAGTTCTTGCTGTTCTTTTGAACCGTGGAAAATCCTACTCCCGAGATTGGATTGACAGCCGGGGCTTATCACTGGGTCAAAAACCTGAAAGAAAGAAAATGTGCTACAAGAATGAGTTGAACACAGATGATTCTGGTGATAATGATAGGCTTGAACTTGATGTTTGCAAAGGTGAAGAATTGTGTAATAGTGCTCAAAATGCTGAATATCTGTGTCATGCAGTGAAGGAAAGGCCAGTGGCATTTATTGCTTCTGTCATTCGCAATATCGACACCTTTAATCATTTTCTTACACTAGCAGATCAGGCAAATCTCATTGTCACAGAGCTCACTGAAAAGATTACGCCATTTAATTTGCTTCCTTACCTGAAGTCATACCAGCGATCAAGTATTCGAATGTTTACCATTTCATATTTATGTGACTAACATTTTTATTTATGCTGTGTCTGATAATGAACCAGAAATACAATAATTTGAGTGACTGGGTACAATTTGGTCTGATTCTGAGAATTTCATTTGTGCTAGTGACTTGGTTCAATTTTTAAACCAGAATTACAATAAATGTGTCCCCCATGGAGCTTGTAATTTATCTCCTATTGGAGTGAAGGCGGAGGGCCGTGCTTATCATCTTCATTGGCTCGGAATTTCTGCTGTTGAGAAGTAGTAGAGTTTCTGTACAGTTTATGTCATTTTGGGTGTACCCCCGTCCACCAACCCCCCACAACCCAAAAAAAAAAATGTTAAGGAACTCCACAACCACCTTTTGCTCTGTCAGAGCTTCAATTATCCACTTTTACTTTCTTTTCTGAATGCAAGAATAGCAAAATACTTGAAGGATTATAAAAGCGGAAACTTCTGGCAAGTAGGTTTTTTGGATGGAGCTCAATTTTTTCGAGCTAGAGTTTCATTTGCTATGAAAGTCGAGAAAGTTGGTGTTCAACCCTTAGTGGTTCAGCATGGCCAAAGCATGCAGGTGGCAGGCCCAATGATTGGCCAAGCAATCGCCAACGCCCGTAACACTCCTAACAGCTCTTGGAAGTGTGTTGGTGTGGACGTGGACGTTTGAAAATTCTGGAGCATCAGGCTCGGTGGTTGTGTGGCTGGTTGATTGAATGTTGGAATGTTGTGGGATAGGTGGACAAGAGTGCAAAAAAGCTTAGTCATGAGCAACAATAGCAGTTTCGTAAGTACCATTAGTCATCGGAATCCTTGATATCTACTGTTGCTACCTAGGTTTTGCTTCAAAATGCTATGATAATGGATGGGGGTCTCCGTGAATAAAAGCCAACTATACTACAGGGATCCGTTCCATGTATTGAATTTTTGTGGAAGAAAAACAGAGTGCAGAGTTATAGAGGAGGAAGAAAAAGTGAAGAAGAGAGTATTCTCATTCATTTTGCTCTTATGTATGTACATCTATATGTATTGTTTACAAAGAGTAATGAACAAGAAATTGCAAACCAAAACTATCTATCTAAATGTATTACACACGAGAGAAAATCTTCAAACTATCTCCAAGCTCCTCCATGTGCCTTAAGATTCTTCTAGTGTACTTATATGCATATGCTATTTCAGTGTGCTTGGATCCTGCTCTGCTGTGTGGTCTGCTGATCTGGAAATGAGACCATATGACTAGTTTTGAAAGTTCTTCCTTCTGTTCAAATTAATATTTTCACTATTAGACTCCACTCTATACCATTCAATCATGCGGAGAACGATAATTCCCCATGATTCAATGAACATCGTGATATTCTCTATACTAATAATTATCAAACTAGACACTTAATTATCTAAGGGATCGGTTTTAACAACAAAATTTTATGTAACGTTTTTGTTGTACTCTCTGATATAAATTATAATTCACCAATTCACTTCTCCAATCGAACAAAGTAGGATCAAGCAAAAGCTAAGAATTCTCAAGATTTCTCTTTTATAAGTACAAGCCCATGTGTATCCTAGATTCATACTTTTAGAACAATCTTAATGCATCCACATTTTTCCCAATTCAATCCACACAATTTTCTCCATTTCCAAGTTATTTGTTCTCCGCCACCAATCTAGATCTTGAATTTCTAAGCCATACAATCCCCTTGATGGCATCCCAACCTCCCCATTCTATCTGATTTACATATAGTCTAAGGCTCCCATGATTTAATCCAATACACCAAGATTTCTTGTAATATAATTAAAATCAAAACTAGACTTCGAAGGATTCAACTAATATCTCTGAATTTAACAACATTAGTTGTCATAGTCTTAACAATTATTCATGATCTCTGAGATGGTAATGATTCCTCAGTTACGAGAATAATATTAGTCTTTGATCCAAAAAACTACATTAAAAGTTTCTTCACGCATGTCAAAACCAATTTGCATAGTTATTAACATTGATTCACTAGATTACATCATTTAACATTACAACCCCCAGAAGAGGACCGACGAGGGTCTTAGCTCCCAAGATAGGGAGGAGAGACGAACCAAAGAAAGGCACAACGCCCGGAGGCAAAGGATAAAGGAGTAGGGGGTGATGTGTGAGAGATATGTGGATAGGAATTCACTTGGGCCACGGAATGAAGTTGTAAGAATTATTGAGGCATGGGGGTTGAATGTGTGGTTTGAGGAAGTTAAGGGGTACAATTTGGGCTTGTGTTGGGAATTCTACCAATAGTTGTTGGTGTTTGGTGATGACGGGCAAAGGCTAAGGACCAATGTGAGGGGTAAGACATTTGAGGTGACCCCGGCCATGATTGCCACGGTGATGGGGTATGAGAGGCTTCCCCCGACCACCCCGANCAAAGGCTAAGGACCAATGTGAGGGGTAAGACATTTGAGGTGACCCCGGCCATGATTGCCACGGTGATGGGGTATGAGAGGCTTCCCCCGACCACCCCGATTTACCCACACAACATGGACGGGGGTAGGACTCTTAGGGACTACGTGGCTCTCACCTATGAGGACCCGACTACGTTTAGAGGAACGATGTTGGTTAGGGGCCTCAGGCATTTATATGGAGTAATGAACAAAGTGTTGCATTACAATGTTATGCCCCGGGGTTCAGAAAAGAACCCGAACATCGAGAAGCTGGCCTTGCTCCACGCTTTCATGACTAGGGTGGCATACCTGATTTTCTTAGAGATGTGAGAGTTTGCCCAAGCTGCAAAGCCAAAGANAAAGAACCCGAACATCGAGAAGCTGGCCTTGCTCCACGCTTTCATGACTAGGGTGGCGATGGATGTGGCATACCTGATTTTCTTAGAGATGCGAGAGTTTGCCCAAGCTGCAAAGCCAAAGGCAAACCTCCCCTTTGGTATCCTTGTCACCAAGCTATGTGCTTTAGCCAAAGTGAAGACGTATGCCCATGATACATTGCTCTTCCCAAAGATTGGAGCCATAGGGAAGTCCAACAGTCAAAATAGGGCTGCCAGGATTGGGGGTGAGAGACCTAGGGCTAGGGAGGCCGAGCCGTCGGTAGCCGGGGCCTTCTTCTTCATCACCCCCACCACCAGCATCTACACTAGCTCTAGCCCGCACTATGGCCCAGAGTATGGATGCGTTGGAGTCCACCATGCACAAACTGTCGGTCATGGTGACTCAACTATTCCAGAACACATTCCCGGGTTAGCCTATCCCCAGAGGACCTCCACCACAGCCTCCAGCTGAATCCTCGACCACAGCTCCAATGTCATCCATGACTGTTGAGGTTGACGATGACAATGACGAGGAGTCAGAGTCTGAGGAGTTGGAGATCGAGGAGGNCCAGAACACATTCCCGGGTTAGCCTATCCCCAGAGGACCTCCACCACAGCCTCCAGCTGAATCCTCGACCACAGCTCCAATGTCATCCATGACTGTTGAGGTTGACGATGACAATGACGAGGAGTCAGAGTCTAAGGAGTTGGAGATCGAGGAGGAGGATGCGTTTGTTGAGGAGGATGACTGAGGATTTTTGTAGTTCTTTTGGTTTTTGGTTATACATAGCAGGTTACTGTTGTCGGCCAATAGAAGTATCTTTAGGTTTTAGCCGTTTTGTTTTGGAACTTGAACCCATTGTAAAGAAATTTTTGAAATGATCAATGAAATACCACATTTCGTTTGTTAATCATTGCCCAAAGCTATTTATGCAATTTTAATATGATTTTTTGGATTTTAAATGTTTGGATGTTTGTTTGAAAGAATGGATTTCAGTTTAATTTATAGCTTGTGGTTTAAAATAATGTTTGCTAGGGACTAGAAAAGCTCAAGTTGGGGGGTGTGATTAGCACAAAAATATGGCATATATTGTATGCTAATATGCCCTTTTATACTTGCTTTTGTCGTGAAATTAGGGAGAAATGCGTTTAATCTTCGTTTTGATGGAGTTTTGTGTAAATGTAGGTACAATGATGTAAATGATGTGAGTTAAGCCCCATTTGAAGTGTTTGAAGTCAATGAAGATAAGGGGGTAACTTAAAGGAAGGTTTAGAGGGTGAAGAAACCAAGAAAATCCAAATTGGTTGAAAACCTTCCGGAAGGTTTTGTCTACTGGATTAAACCTTCCGAAAGGTTTTGTTTACTGGAACTAAACCTTCCAAAAGGTTTTGTTTACTGGAATGAACTTTCCAGAAGGTTTTGCCTGTTGACTTCTTCATTTAACTGTTCTTGGACAAACCTTTCAGAATGTTTCTGTCAACCTTCTGGAAGGTTTTGCCCAAACTGCCCAGACAACCTGCAACTCAAGCTCTGCAAATTGGGGGTCCCATTTACACTTTTTCAACAAATCCCCTGACATTCCTTATACATCTAGAAGCATTCCCTCATCTCTACTTGGACTTTGGAGATTTGTGCAATAATGAGGAGGAAAGAGAAGAGGCATGGCAAGAGAGAAAGGCTAGGCTTGTCCTAGCCTGCACCAACCCATCACTTTCAGCCCCCTATGATTGGGATCATATCACAGGCTAATGGGGGGCTCCATGGATGTTTTTGGGGGGAAATTATTCAGCATTACAGGGGATAGAAATATACAGTATAACATAGAGAGAGAGTCGAAGGTAGAAGATGAATAGTGCTAGAGAGAGAAGTTAATATTTTTGCATTTTCTTCCATGCATTGTGTAAACTCCACCCTTTTATCTTTATATTTGTATGTAGGTTTATGTAGCAAGTTATTATTTCTTTTGAAAATGTTAATATGAAAATTCGAGAAAATAGTAGTTAAAACTTAGTTTAGCTTGCAAATATATGAAATCGTTGTAATAAAACTTGTACCAACTAGGTTTGATGTACAAAAGCTTGTTGAATAAGCTTGGGTTGGATTTGGAAGGGTTTGGAATAGGTTCGAAAAGAAAAATAGAGGAAATAGACAAATTTGGACAGGACTTACCGGTAGTACGCTGTCTAGTGGATCCGAACTACCGGTAGTCAACAAGTAGTAAATATCCAATAGATCCG